CCACCCTCCTCCCCCTCCACCACCCCTAGTTCGTTTCCCAGAGTTAGGAGTCTTTATGTTCTGTGTCCCTTTCTGATATTTCCCACACATTTCTTCTCCCTTCTCTTATATTCCCTTTCACTATTATTTATATTCCCCAAATGAATGAGAACATACACTGTTTGTCCTTCTCCGATTGACTTACTTCACTCAGCATAATACCCTCCAGTTCCATCCACGTTGAAGCAAATGGTGGGTATTTGTCGTTTCTAATGGCTGAGTAATATTCCATTTATGTTCCACACTCTTATCTGTGTTAGATACCTTAGAAGAGGGTTTCTCCTCTGTGTTCTGGGCAGATTTTATCTTCTTTTTACCAAGCTGACTCTTCTCTAGTAGATGTTGTCTCCAAATTAAAACTAGTAAGCACCCTTTCAATAAATAAACCTTTCATACTTTGATGTCCCTCCTACTTATTTCCTATTGGGGAGAGATTGAGAAAACTTTAATATCATTACTGTTGACAAGGGTTAATGGTTAATACTGATTAAAAGAAAGTCAGATATGTTGACAACATCAATTACTTTCATGGATTATTTTTGTGGAAATATGTTTCAAAGATAAATTTTAGAAAAATTATTTTATTCCTTATAACTTTTTAATTATTTTTACTATTAGTTGAAGTCAGTAGTTTAAAATTTATCATTTCTATGGCCTGAAATATTTAAAGGTTTTATTCATTAAAGTTCTGTCTTAACATCCCAGTAATGGTTGTAGGTATTTTGTGATGAGTGATTCAAAAGAATGATTTTTAAATATGGAAAATAGCTATATTAATGCCAAATATTATTTTATAGGAATGTATAAGAGTTTAATCTTGCCTTCAAGAGTTTCTGGGATTTTTCAATATAGTCAATAAAATATGCACATAAAAGAATATGCTTGGGGATCCCTGGGTGGCTCAGCGGTTCCACGCCAGTCCCGTGTCGGGCTCCCAGTGTGGAGCCTGCTTCTCCCTCTGCCTGTGTCTCTGCTTCTCTCTCTCTCTCTTTCTCTCTCATGAATAAATAAATAAAATCTTTCAAAAAAAGAATATGCTTGATATTTTAAGTCTGTTTTTGTTCATCAGTCTGACTTTATAGTCATGATTTCATTAATATGGGCTTGTGGCCACTCCTCAAGTATATCATATTAGGAAGAGAACATGCTGTCATCTCCTTCTTTTAAATAGTCTGCTAAAGTTAAGATAATACATAATGTTGGGATAGCAATTTAATTATCATTCTGTTGACATTCAGCTTTCTTTCCTTGAAAATTGAGAGTAAGTTATAAAAACATTCTCTCTTTATACTTTTATATTGCTGTGATTGGTGATAATGATTTGTAGTAATTCCCTTTTGAGTTTAAACTTGGTTTAACAATATCACTGGCTTTGGTGGTTTGATTTGTGATCACAAATAAACTGCTGAAGTCAACATTTATTTTTTTTTAGATTTCAGCAAGGAAGGTCTAGGTTATTTAATCCTCCTAAATGGGTATTTCAACTTCAGTCATTAACAATCTACTTATTACTTTATTTACTCATTTGTTTAACAAATATTTATTTAGTTCCTACTTTGTATCAGGTCTTTACCTTGGATATAGTAGTGGGCAGAATAGAGTTCCTATGCTCATAGGGATAATAGGCCAGCAGGAAAAGTAGACAGGCAGGTGTAACAGTGTTTGATGAGTACTAAGGGGGAAGGAACTGGCAGAAACAGGATATTGTGGTAGCACATTAGTAGGTCATTTGATTTTGGAAGTTCAGGAAAGGTTTTCTTAAGAATGTGATATCCAAGGGGCACCTGGGTGGCTCAGTCAGTTAAGTGTCTGACTTTTGATTTTGGCTTAGATCATGGTCTTGGTGTCGTGAGACTGAGCCCCACCTGGGCTCCATGCTCAGAGGCAAGTCTACTTGAGATTCTCTCTCTCCCTCTGTACTCGCCTCACTCTCTCTAAAATAAGTAAATAAATCTTTAAAAATATATATGATCCCTAAGCCAAGAAATCAGATTTCGATTATGTGATTTACCCCAAAGATACAGATGCAATGAAACGCAGGGACACCTGCACCCCGATGTTTATAGCAGCAATGTCCACAATAGCCAAACTGTGGAAGGAGCCTCAGTGTCCATTGAAAGATGATGGGTAAAGAAGATGTGGTTTATGTATATAACGGAATATTACTCAGCCATTAGAAATGACAAATACCCACCATTTGCTTCTACGTGGATGGAACTGGAGGGTATTATGCTGAGTGAAGTAAGTCAATCAGAGAAGGATAAACATTATATGGTCTCATTCATTTGGGGAATATAAATAATAGTGAAAGGGAATAGAAGGGAAGGGAGAAGAAATGTATGGGAAATATCAGAAAGGGAGACAGAACATGAAGACTCCTAACTCTGGGAAATGAACTAGGGGTGGTGGCGGGGGGGAGGGTAGGGGTGAATGGGTGACGGGCACTAGGGGGGCACTTGACGGGATGAGCACTGGGTGTTATTCTGTATGATGGCAAATTGAACACCAATAAAAAATAAATTTATTATTAAAAAAGAAAAAAAATAAATGTGTTGCTGTCACAACACATAAAAAATGAATTATCAGAAGAACTTGAGCAGCTTCAGAAAAGTGCTTGTGTGGTATTGGTATAGCTAAAGTAGCCACCAGAGGTTTTATGTCACTGGAGTGTATGATATGAGGATGTAAGGAAAAGAGATGATGTGGAAAGGTGATAGCAAAATCATAAAAGTTGACTTTACCTTGTGGGCAATGGATGTCCTTGGAAATATTACTTAGGGAACTTAGGGATAAAAGAATGAAAATTGACCAAATGCCCAGTTAATATAGGGCACATTAATGAATATCTCTGATTACAGTTTGTATAGTCTAGTAATAAGGTAATGAAGCCTGGAGCATTAAATTGCTAGAGTTCAAGCTAAACTCTACTACTTAGTGGTTTATGGTCTTGTGCAAGTTACTTAAACTGAGTCTCAGTTTCCTCATTTATATATGAGCATAATAATAGTATCTAACAGAGTACCACATGGAATAAAGTAATACCTATAAAATCCTTGTTACAAAGCCTGACACATATATATCAAAGAATCAAAAATATTAATTTTTATTCTATTTATTGCTCAAGGTCACATGGTAAGGATAATTTTTGCTGAAACTTTGAGTTCTATCCAAATCCAAAGCCCATAAATTTTCACTACTTTATGTCTGTTTTGAAGTTGTTTTCACACATAGAAAATGAAGAGCAGTAACAAATTATTTTAAGAGATTATTGGTGAAGATTAATATATGTGAAAGAGCTTTATATGTAAGATTTTAAAAAAATTTCAAAGTATGCTTCATATTTTATTTCACCTACCAGAGTGGAAATGCTTATATAATAGTGTTCACATGGTTAAGATCAAGGACTTTAAAGCAAAACTATCTGTGGGGTGCCTTTTTGGCTCAGTTAGTTAATCCTCCAGTTCTTGATTTTAGCTCAGGTCATGATCTCAGGGTTGTGAGATCGAGCCCTGTGTCAGACCATTCTGGGTGTGGAGCCTGCTTAAGATTCTTTTTCACTCTCCCTTTGTCCCTCTCCCCCCTTGCTCTCTCTCTCTTAAAAAAATAAAGCAAAACTATCTGGGTTGAAACCCCAGCCCCACTTGGGGAAAATTATTTAATTCCTCTAGCATAACAACAGTAGCAGCAGCAGCAACATGTAGTCCATGTGTACATATTATTTTAGTAAATATATGTAAACAAATAGAATATTGACTGGTCTATAGGGTATACTGATTGCATATTATTATTAAATATCATTATATAGTACTGTAATTCTTATAGTACCTTGTACCTACTAGATGATATTTTTTAACTAATAAAATAAATTCTACCTCTTCCACATATTTGCTTTGTTTTTCAAGAAATTAATAATAGTCATAGCAAATGAGGTTCAGCCATCCCATGCTCCTGACCATGCCTCTCTTCCTCTTCCAGACTGTAGAATTTGAATGAATGAGTTGGTAAAGGGCTAAAGATCATTCCTAAATAATAACACATCCGTTGAGGGTTTCACAAAAATATTAGAAGGGTGACAGTAAGCACTTTGTAAGGGTTGAGTAATTTATATTTTCTCTGGCAGGATGTGTTAAATATGGAGCAAGCACATGAACAACCCATTCATTTACCTTGCAATATGTGTTTAAGGGAAAACTCTATTTTTGGACTTTGAGTATTCACCAATGTTTGTAGACTGGAAGACTACAATTCCAGAAGTTTCCTTGTGTGCGTGTGTGTGCACTCAGTGTGCATGCACATACCCATGTTTATGTTTGGACAGAGAGATATGAAACCCTGGAAACTCTAAAGTTAACATTATCTTTTTTTAAAGATTTTTTTATTTATTCATGAGAGACACACAGAGAGAGAGGCAGAGACACAGGCAGAGGGAGAAGCACAATCCATGCAGGGAGCCCGACGTGGAACTCGATCCCCGGTCTCTAGGATCAGGCCCTGGGCTGAAGACTGCGCTGAACTGCTGAGCCACCCAGGCTGCCCTAGAGTTAACATTAAATTTAAGTGCTCCACAGTATTGCTAATTTTAGATAATTCCCAGGAGCCAGTTTTGGTACAGGCAGGCTATAGATACCACAACTACAAACACAGATCCATGGCAAAATTATAGAAGCTGATGGAGTTTCCAGGGTTCCCAAGAGTCACTTTGTGGTCCCTTGGATTGGAAAATGTTAACTTAGTTCTTTTCTAGTTCTGATGACGTACTTGTAAGTTTAGATGTTCCGGTGTCATCCTAGAGAAGACATTCTTAATCACTGTTAGACCATGGACCACTTTGAGAATTGGATAACATTATGAACTTTGCCCCCAGATATACTTATTTATTCAAATTCACACTAAATTTGCCTTGGAATTTCAAGGTTTCAAAGATCCCTTAGGTATAACTCACAGACTCCTCAATTAAGAGATCCGCTTGCATTCAAATGGCTTTATTGTGCAAGAAACAAAAAATTAAATGTGATCTGGACGTAAAATGTGAGATGAGAAGAGAAAGGAGCCAAATTCATCAAAATCACATTCTCTCTTGAATGAATTTAGACGAGTGACCAAAGGAAGAGTTTGGAGTAGTCATTTGGTTTCAGCAAGACCTATAAAAAATGGTGAAAGTTTAGGAATTTAGCTAATAGTATGTTAATAGTTCTCATGTAGACTCTTATTTAAGTGATTTGTCTCATATATCTGTTTCCAAGGATTTTATAAATTTAAATATTTAAACTTGGCTTATAGTAACTGAAAATAATTGACTTTGCTTAATATTTACACTAAGACAATGTCTTTAATATGCTTCTTTATAAGTGATATTATGCACTGTTTTTAACTTAGAAATTTAGGTTTATGAGTTTACTCATAACTACTGAAATAATGATTATTTCATTAAAAACATAATCATGTAACATTTTGAATCAATAAAATATATAATTTTACTACTTGCTTTCATGTTGCTTCTATTAATTTTCTTATTTTATTTTCTAAATTTTAATAAGTCAAAAATTTATCTAGCATCTCACTTTCTTTTTCCTACCATATGTCCTATTAAATAAGAGCTAAATAATATAATTTGCACATACATTGGTCTAAGAAAACCATAATGTGTTTTCCCTATTTCTGTGCATTAGACAGTCTGTGTAGAAATAGCATAGTAATTTTGCTTTACTATCTGAAACCAGACAGGTTTGGTTTGGTTCCCAGTTTTGAACTTTTAAGTTGTGGTAATTTATTTAATATCCACGGGCCAGTTATTTTTTATTTGTGAATTCAAGATAGTAATATAATCTGTCCCATATGGTTGCTATAGGAGTAATCTGAGATAACTATGTAACATTTCTACCATTTAGTAAGAACAAGATATTGGTTAAAAGTAAATTTTAGCATTTACGGATTTTATTCTTTTAATACATTTTGTAGACTGATCATTTTTACAATCTTTCCACAATATGCACTGTCACTTGAACCCTATAGAACCCAAAATTAAGAGAAAATGAAAGTTCAGAGAGAGCAATGACTTGCCTAAGTCACAAAGATGAAACAAATACCCTCTCTGGTCTAATACTATTCCCTTGTATCACAGGTCACTGTGTTGTATTTCAGGTTATATAACGGGTAGACAATGTGATGCACTGAAAATATTTATTTCAAAGAACCTTAAAATTTTATAACTTTCTCCCCCAAATTACTTCACATCCTGGTTATTCTCTATTTTATTTATCTTTCCCTTTAATTTCTTTCCATAAATTTCAGTTTAGATTTTGCCATTATTCATTGATCCAAATAATAAATGGAAATGTTGGCATCACATTTAAGATTCTGAAAGTATTCCTTTAGTACATATGTGCTTTTAAACCTAGGAATTCCAATTTTCCCATGGGTTCATCTTAGAATACAAGAAATTTTGAGTGCCTGGCTTCCTGGACACTTTCAGAAATGATGTCTGAAATAAAGGAATGCATGGAAAATGTACTTCCTTTGTTTGATTCAGGGCAAAATTAAGAGTGAAAGAACATGGTTAAATGTTTAAAATGTATTTACCCTCATTCTATATAAATGTTCTAAAAATTTATTTTTGAAATAAGAAAAATCGTAAGTTTAACATAATATGGTACTCTACTTTCCTTGTGTATGAGTAAGAATGAAACAAAACTAGTAGATTCTAAGAGTGTTCCAATTATTGAAATAAAGTTTGCTAATAAAATCTCTAGTTTTTCTGTATTTTGTAAAAGAAGATATTTCATTTCTTATTGGAACAGAATCTAGTATATCAATGCTATGGCACCACCAAATTACAATTATAATGAACTCATTTTGCTTACTCTCATAATAGGCTTAATTTATCTATTATACTATTTTAGGTATTATGATTATACTGATAAATACATGAATCTTGTCTGTACTATTTATTTTTGTCTTTTTCTCATTTACCTGTGTTGTCTTCTTTGGTGTTTCCTCAGAGTTTTTAGACCACAGGTGAAGTAACTGGAACCGTGGTAGTCTCAGATGTGCTTGTGATGGTGAATTCTGAGGAAGCCTCTGAAGTGACTGCAGTGTTCACTTTTGGTTCAGTGAGAGGAATAGGTGTAGCCTCAGCAGTAGCAATGGTATTGATGGTAGGGATGCCTGTCTTATCCTGAATTTTCTTTGGGGGAATGGCAATAAATGATGGATGTAGTTGTGGGCGATGCATCATAGTGGGTGGGTAGGCATTTGGCAGGACCTGCCATTGAGGAATTTGGGCATGTGTCCTAACTGCAACTGCAGGTTTTGCATAAAATGGATAAGGCACATATTGATGATTAATTGGTTCAGCTGGTCTATGTGGGTAGTAGTTGGGTTCATAGTGAGCAAAGCTATTTAGCACATAATGAATAGGGATATACTTGACAGTTTTCTGATTGAACAGTCTTTCATCATTCTCACGACACTGTAAAAAGAATACATTATGCAGATGGCATTATTGTAGTTTAGAATATAGAGATATCTTAAATCAGAACTTTTTGAAGTACATATTTCAGTGTTTGACTTTAAATAACTACAATACTGGAAGTAATGAACTCAATCACTATATTATTTTACAAAGATACAGATTTGTCCTCTTCCCTTCCACTTTTTGATTTTCAGCAAACACTAAAAATAATGTTAGTTTCTTTTTTTTTTTTAAAGATTTTACTTATTTATTCATAAGAGACACAGAGAGAGAGGAAGAGACAGAGGCAGAAGGAGAAGCAGGTCCCCTCTGGGAAGCCCCATCTCAGACCCTGGAATCATGACCTGAGCCAAAGGCAGACACTCAATCACTGAGTCACCCAGATGCCCCCAAAATGTTTGCTTCAAACAAATTAGTTGAGGTAATCCATAATGTAAAACCACGTTGCCTAGGTTTAGGCATGTATGAAAAGTGTTCAGTAAATGTGGGGCATTATAGCAAGTACAACAGCTAGAAAAATCTCAGAGAGCTTTGACATACTGTGTTTAAACAGCACACACACAGAAATATATGTGCATATATATATTTCCATATATATGTAAGTACATATGTATATATGTATTCTTACCACATATTTGTAATTCTTTACAAATTTATTTATCTAGAGATTAGGCTGAGGGTACATTTTTTTTTTCTAAACTAATTATAGCAGAGTAGTAAAATAATGTGATGTGAGAGGATGCCTGGATTTATACTTTGGATTATTTTCAGCTTCATTTTATTCACTAAAAATCAGTTAAGGAATTTTCTTTTTTTTTTTCAGTTAGGGAATTTTCTATTTTTCTTTGCCTCTGTGTGACTCTTATGTGCATTTATAAAAATATGCCATTAGACCTTTTCATATGAGTAAAAACAAATCAACAAAATTATGCTGCAAAGCAAGTACTTCTCTTGAAAGGAGACACATCTAAATGTGTTCATTCAAACATATTTGGGAAACAGAGGAGGTCAGTGCAAACATATGAGAAGTATTCAAAGATGGGTCAGAGAGGGATCTTTCCCCAAGTCTTCAGTGAGGAGAGATACTAAACTTTACATTTGTTTTCCTCTTTTCTCATGTTGCAAAATAAACATGAAAACCAAAAACATATGACTTGGGTTATAAAAAGAATCCACAGTTTTCAAATGAATATTGAGATTGATTCATACATTTGGTTGCTAAGGTGATACTTTTTTCAAAGATTATGAGATTATTTTATGGGGTTTATTTATTAATTTCTAGATGTAAGGCATTTAAATATCATTGAACTTTGTATAATATTATACTTCAGAGTTCTTATCTCTGTTAGAAATAATTTAAATAAACTTACAGTTGGTTGTTCCTGGTTTTGCACCTCTGCACCCTGCTGAGGTTCACAGAAAGAAGAAATAAGTTAAAAAAATATTAGGCAGAGTCCAGTTTTTTTTTGTGGTTTTATAAATCTTTTATACTAAAGACGAAACAAGGTTTCCATGTTTTTAATACTGTAAAATATTGTAAAGCATTTTCCATGGTTATTTAATCTATAAGTCCTATGAACTACTCAAGAAGTGACAGCAATAAACTAATTAAAATCTTTAAAAATCAACACTGGGGAGAAGAGTTTAAGGTTGAAAGTAATATGATCATCAGACCCCTATGCCAACAAATATACATGATAGCTGCTTAAATGAAAAATATAAATAACATATTAAGTTTGTATTGAATGTACATTAGGTTTTTTGGGGGGATTTTATTTGCCTTTTGAATGTATATTGTTAAAAATAAGAGGAGCATTGAGTATACTTTCTGCTCTCCTACTAAGATATTTATGAGATTTATTTAGGTTAAAAATTGCCTTTCACATAACATATAAATGCTATATAAATAGTAGTATTTTTTTTTAAAAATCAACTTTCACTTGTTTTTATAATACTTTTCTTAATTCTGGATTTGCAACATGTATAGGGAATCAGGAGAGAAAACAACTTCCATAGGCATATACTTAAAGCTTTAGAAACTCACAATGGTTTTATAAAATTTTGACATGAGGTCACAATGATGTCAGAAAGAAAGGCAAAAGAAAAATTATTAAATTTCCTTACTATGTACAGTTCAATGACAAGTCCTTGAATCAGGCAGAGTGACATTCCTCTACAGACTCAACTGCCTCAATGTTGATACATTGCTCAGGGCAGAAGACAATCTTAGCCTGATTGCCCATGATCCTGAGCCCCAGGATCCTGGAAGTCTACTTTAACATATAAAAATTCCTTTAGAAATTTCTTTTACCTCCAAATCCCTCAAGATATGTGTTGGCAATTATCCCTCAAGCATGTGACCCACCAATATACATTTGAAGTGTCTCAAAACTCAGGTTTTATTAGACAGTAATAAATGACCTTTTCCCAACAATAGCTAGCCCCCTCAAGGTCCTGGAAGCCTTACTTCCAAAATTCTATAAGTCTATAAACTTTCATTCTTTTTTTGAATTATTTGTTCATGTCCCTCTGGCTTGAAGCCTTTGTGAAAATGGGAAGGAGTGTTTGGGAGCTAGAGGAGGCTCAAGTTGCTCAGGAAGAGGTTGCCATAGAGTTGGAAGTTGTGGATCATGTGATACTGCAATTTATAATAAATATATATTTGGTCTTCATTCTAGTTTCTGGCACAGTTATGTTCCTAAAACCCTAATAATTTCTTTAAAAAATATTTTATTTATTTATTTATGATAGACATAGAGGGGGGGGCAGGCTCCATACAGGGAGCCTGATGTGGGACTCGATCCCGGGACTCCAGGATCACGCCCTGGGCCAAAGCCAGGCACTAAACCACTGAGCCACCCAGGGATCCCCATCCTTATAATTTCTTAAGTGATGGGGGTGCCTTGGGGAAGAAGGTGTATTTTATTATGTTAATGAAATGACGTTTGGACCCCACCTGAGGATAGGGGCTGGTTGCCATAAAAACCAACCACTTGATTTGAAGGTTGGGACTTTCAATCCCACCTCCTGATCCTCCAGGGACAGGTTAAGGGACTGGAGGCTGAGTCAGTTGTCAATGACTGATAAGTCATCTCTATGTAATGAAGCCTCCACAAAAGCCCAAAAGGATGAATTGGGAGAGCTTCCAGTTTGGTGAACACATGGACATTCAGGGAGAATGACTTTCCTGGAGAGGGTATAGGAGGGCTGCAACTCTTCCCACATATATTACCCTGTGCATCTCTTCCATCTGACTGTTCCTGAGTTATATCCTTTTATAAACCCATAATCTAGTAAGTAAAACATTCCCTAAGTTCTGTAAGCCATTCTAGCTAACTAACCAAGCCCAAGAAGGGAGTTGTGGGAACTTCCCATCTATGGCCAGTCTTCAGAACTACAGGTAACAGCCCGGGCTTGCAACTAAGGTCTGAAGTGGGAGGTCTTGTAGGTCTGAAACCTTAACTTGTGAAATTTGATGCTATCTCTGGGAAGATAGTGTCAGAATTGAGTCAAATTCTTCAACACTCTGGTGGTGTCCAAAAATTACTTGGTGGTGTGTGAGAACCCACAACTCCTCTCCCCCTCCCCCACAACACAAGTTGGAATTGTGTCCATAAACCTAAAAGAATAATTTTCTTATTTAAATTTTAATCCTGTCCCTCAAAGAAAGAACCCAAGTTTGCAATGTGCTGGTGGCTACAATAAATTGAAAAGAATAAATGAAAGAAAATAAATGTGAAAGCCATAATACAAATTTTTAGAGTTTGACTCTAAGAATTTACCTAATAGAATTATTTAATAGATATCAACTTAAAAGCAAGTCTAAATTTAGTAATACATGAATTATGAAACAAGCAATAGTGTCTTCCAAAATGTATAATCTAAGAGATGGTCATATAACATCTTCTGTTTGTTTTCTTGCTCTTGCTATTGGCAAATAAGTGCCTGGGATCCCTGAATGAACGTGAAAATGAAACAGAGCAAAAGCCAACACACATGAAAGCAAGTCAAAAAAAAAAAAAAAAGGAAAGAAAAAAGAAAAAAGCCAAATCTTTTTTCTTGGTCTAATAGCTTTAGACCAGAACAGCATGCAATTCAAGAAAATGTCTGAAAACCATAGAATTGTTTATGGATACTATCCCTAGGGAGGAGTCAGTTGACATAATGAGAGGAGTATAACAAAAGACACAATGATATTTGAATGTTAAAAGTAGATGTGTTCAAGGTCTTTGATACTGGTGGAAAATCTTTAACCAAGTCCCTAATGTTTTAAGGATTTAGTTTCTAAAGAAAAAGGATCTAAGATAGGAATTCAATTAAAGGAATTTCTGATCTGAAATATGATTTATGTATTTATTTTTTAGGAATTATTTTTAGAGCATTTTGTAATTTTAAAATATTTCCACTATTGTTTTTCCCCAAGAATGTCTTTTCTGTATACTCTGAGAATTTTAATTTTTATACATAACGAAGTGTGATTTCTTAATTCTTGAGAGCCAGAAGGATATATAAGAGAACATGACTTTAATTTTGTAATATAAAATAAATGAAAAATAAGTTGCTTTTAAGAAAATATAGCTAGTATGGAATTATTTTGTTCTATGAAGTACAACTGCACTTAGAAAAATTTGCATAATTAGAACTTTTAAATAAAATTTTCTTAAAGTCTTACTACAATTGACTAGATGAAATTGACTCACCAGAAATGGCAAGGCTAATGCAACGATATTCACAACTAGGAAAAATCTCTTCATCTTTGCACCTAAAAGTAAAAATAAAAAAATTAAATTAAAAGGATCTTTTATAATTTAGAAGTGACTTGGGACTTTTTTGTTTGTTTGTTTGTTTGTTTTGTTTTGCTTTAAGGGAGGGAAAAAGCCAGATTTATGGGTAGATTTAGCCAATGTGGAAACTTTATCGTAAGCTTTAGAAAAACCAAATGAGATTATTAGGGTGACTCTGATACAGGCTTTCCCAGCATCTAGCATCAGTTTTAGGAAGAGCATTAAAACATAAACAAATCAGTGTAAGGGGAAAGAAAGTGGAAAATGCCACGAGTGGTTTTCTGCAGATAGAAGGTCTCAGTTAAAAGAATCATCAAATTCTTTGTGAAGGAGATGGCATATAGATGGGATTTGTCCATGGAGAGATAAATACGGACAAAACCTTCTCAAGTATAGAAGAAAGCCTTGGGGATATCTATAAACATTTTGAATGGAGTGGTGTTTTATAAGAAGGGAAAGAAAGTAGAAAAGAATGTTTAGGGCAGCAAAAGTAGAAGCCCTGAATGCCAGGTGAATAAGTTAGGCATGGTTTTGTAAACAACAGAAACTAGCTGTGTGGTTTTATGTTGGAGAGTGTTGTGATTATACATTCCTTTGGAGGACTGTGTTCTAGCCCAGTCCCTACCTCTGCTTGTATAACTTTGGCAAAGTAATTTCCCTTGCCTGGACCTTATCTTTCTAATCTATAAAATGAAGGTTTAACTGATTTCTAAGATTCTGTAATTCCATGATCGATCTAATGGGAACATGTAAGATGAAGGGAAGGGGGTAGATCCTGAAAATGCATTCTTTATGATATACTTGATATAGCTCTTGTTATTGCCATACTTGTAATAGATTTGAGTCCTGCAAACGGAGTTTTATGACAAAGGGTCACAGAGTTAAAACCCAGGCTTGGAAAGAGGAAGCACATCAAACTCTATTTACCTCCATTCCCAGGTGATAATGATTAAGGCCGTCTACTAAACTGTTGATGGGATATCAGTGGATAGAAAAGTACTCATATGGAATCAAACCTGTACAACCTACAGCATATTCAAATTTCATAAAGAGTAAGTCTTTACTTGACCGTTAACTTTTTAATTGAAATATATTTGACATATAACACTGTTTAAATTTAAGGTGTACCCCATGTTGATTTGATACATACTATAAATTGTAATATGATTACCATTGTAGTGATAATTAATACCCCTAGCGTGTCATATAATTATTATTTCTTTTTTTTTTTTGGTTGGAATGATTAAGATCTAGTGTTAGCAAGTATTATGAACATAGATTATTTAACTTTTTAAATTATAGATTGAACAGTAAATTTCTATGGTGAATAAGACTCCTGTTCAGTTCCCACAAAATTATAACACACACACAACATTCTATAAAATGATAGTAATTCCTTCCTTTTTAGCATAAACAGAAATCAGATAAGACCATACATAACTTATCAGCTACTTAAACCAATGAGTACTTGAATTTGCCCTCATCACTTGGTAAGATAGAAATAATTTGTAAAATAGTAGAACTATTCAGCTTTCATGACGATACAAAAGAGCATGTTTTAAAACAATAGTTATACTATAACAAATAAAATTGTGACCTTAAGATAACATTATATTTGAAATTAATTAAGGGATCGATCTGGATTATTATTACATGTCATTTGATGAAAAGTTAACTCTCCACATTTGTCTGTTGAAATAGATTCTTTGTCTTAAATACCTTATTTTTTATTTTTTAATTATTTTTTTAGTTTCTATGAATTTTTAAAGATTTTATTTAAATTACAGTTAACATATGGTGTAATATTAGTTTCAGGTGTGTAATATTTTGACTCAACACTTCTATACAGCACCTGGTATTCATCACAAGTACACTTCTTAATCCCCATCACCTATGTAACCCATTCCCCCATCCACCCCCCTCTGGTAAGTATCAGTTTGTTCTCTGTAGTTAAGAGTTTGGGTTTGCCTCTCTACCTTGTTCTTTAGAATTTACATTTTCTTTAGTAATGTATGAGTATCAAAACTTGACCTTTACCCCAAAGTGAAGTTAAAAGTAAATCTGATCATAACATCATTCAGAATCTAAGGTTTAGGTTAGAAACTAATGTCAAAATAAAGCCAAGACATATTCAAGCTTAACAATAAAAGCGTAAAGGAAGAAAATGTGCTTCTAAAATAACTTTGGTGGTATTATTAACACCTACTGTGAAAAGGAATCACTCTCTCTGGATATTTCAATATGATTACCTTTCCTTGTGCCTGTCAGGTCTTGCTTGGTGTAGGTTGAGTTGGCCTCTCGATTGTAGGGAAGACCCAAGATAAATAACTGAAGACTTATTAAGGGGTATTAGTGCTTTGCTCACGTGATTTATTTTCCTCCTACATTTCACTGAATAGGAAGATGACAAAAAGGAAAGATTTAATCACAGTAGGGTCATCTTTGGGTCAATCTTAGTAAATGAAATGTGGAGGGGGAAATAGAGTTGTCATTTGTAAAACCTGAAGAAAGACTACTTACACTTTTTAAGGAATGAATTTTTATGTTTCATAAAAAGATACAGAAGAGTTCTAAAAAAATTAATTGTATTCGTAAGTAACCCTACCTATTTGAATTTAAAGCTGTTGTAAAAATGAAAAATAGCTAACCACAACACTCTCATTTTTAAGTTTTTTTTTTCATTTAAGACATAGATATCAAGTGATACTGCATTTATTATGAGCTCTAGTTGATCTTCTTTATAGAATTACAACTATTGATTTCGGAAAATTAGAAAAATGACCATTTCTTATACACCCAGGACAATTTCTTACAAGTCAAATCTAATGTGAAATATTTTAATTAATATAAAAGCCATTTGCATTTGAGCTGCAACATACAGTTTTCAGTAAACTCATGGTGTAATCATTCAGTATACATTTGTTCATTGATTAAGCTCTTAAGAATCAAATTTTATTTTAGATTTTTAGGTTTTGGTAATACAAGTAATACTCTTGATATACAAAATGAAATTATTGTTGAGGATAATTGCTCTATTTTAGGGATAGCTCATTCTGACATATATAGTAAGTATCATAAAACCACCAATATGGGGGTTGTTTTGGTAAAATAGCTAACCAAGTAATTTGCTAAGCTACTTCAGAAAAGGATATTTTCTTTTGTTTGCATTTCTCTGGGGAAAAAGTGTTAATTGTGCTGTGAGGTCTTGGCAAGATTGAAGTATTTACAGGAATCAATGTAAGACTGCCAGAATAGAAGAAATAGTATCAGCATTGTAGCTCTGCCTATATTCTTGTTTTTTTTTTTCTTAGAACTATTTCATGTCTTAGAAAGTTAGGAACAGTGTTCAGAATCATAGAATGAATGCTTATTGAGTATGTACAGAGTGAGTTGAGATTTTCTATTTCTCAGAATAGTTGGCTTCTGCTGTTTGCAGAAAGATGGCAGAGATTCAAAACTGCTAAAACAAGCTGTCTGGGTATTAAGACCAAACATTCTGTATAGACTGTTTAATCACACCTTTTTTCTTTGGTTGTCAGGGTCAAGTGATAGAAAATTATGGACTTGTCAGTCTCCAAATTATGAAGGCATTCTTTTCTATGTGATAATTTCTCAGTCATTGATTTAGAGCCATAGAATGATACTAATTTTGAGTATTTAATTCACAATTACCAGAATTTATTTAAATTAGTATTATTCACAAGTATCAGACGTCAGAACACTTTTAACAATATTGTTTTAGTGGGAAAATATATTTCAGTAATTTTATGTCACCTGGGAATGCTAGGAATCCTTATCTATACCAAGAGAAAACCATTTCTACAGTGGGGTCACCCATCTACCTCAAACAATAATCTGACCTTCTTGAAACACTGGGTATTTGTTGAGTTCTTCTTTTTTTTTTTTAAGATTTTATTTATTTATTCATGAGAGACACAGAGAGAGAGAGGCAGAGATACAGGCAGAGGGAGAAGCAGGCTCCATGCATGGAGCCCGATGTGGGACTCAATCCCGGGTCTCCAGGATCACGCCCTGGGCTGAAGGTGGTACTACACCAACTGAGCCACCCGGACTGCCCTGTTGAGTTCTTATATTAGCTCAGGTGCTGTCCCAGGCATTAGGAATAAATTGTAACCAAAGCAGGCCAAGATCCTTGCCCTTGTGAAACTTACAGTCTAACATTTACTTGAATACTAGTGACACGGAGTATTCCGCATGTATATATTGACCTAAGGCAGTCTAAGAGAGCTAAAGAGTTTTGATTGGCTGGTATAGATGAACTAGTTGAACTCTACATTGGAGCAACTCAGATTCTCTGGTATTTTCCAAAGAAAAATAAAAGGAAGATCAGAACTCCCATGGATGTGAAATATCTCAGGAAATTGGAATAGTGATAAACAAGGTCCTAAAACTTAAGAGTGTTTACAATCTGAAACTGATTCACTAGCCTTGACCTCGTCATCTATTCAATTCAGGGATCATAGTCTACTCCTGAAACATCCCTGAATTGTGGGGAAAGGGCCAGCAGGGCTTCTTAGTCTATCTATAGCTTCTTTCTGTTTAGGTCCCAAATCAAGTCTGTTTATATAACGACGTAGTGGAGCTGGGTAAGACATGATTGTGAGTTCATAAGTTCACATTTCAAGCACAATGAAATAATCATTTTGTGATAAGATGGTGATCATTGACACCTATGCTTTCTTTTATCCATAGCAAATCCTTCTTCTGTTATCATTTTTCATATCTTATATGTACCTTATCTCTTTTCTTTTGTGGTATTCACAGCATGTGATTGTATTTTTTTCTATCTCATTTTATTTCTCAGCTACTTCATTAATACCAGGCTGATGTCAATACTCTATCACATGCCTGAAATATAACAGTGTTTGTGATAGTAGGTGCAATGTAAATAGCTAACATAACTTTGAACATGATTAAGGCACCAGAAAATTAACATTTTAATGCAGAAATTTGTATGCTTTGGAAAACTTTGCTGTATGTGAAAATTCTGGGAAAGTAATGTAAAATGCTCTTAACATTTTTCAACACTAGCAAAATGGAATATGGCACAATGCATTTAAATCAACAGTACACACTTATATAGTTCTTATTAAAAACAGGGCACTTTGAAGAATGTAGTAGACAATCATAGTTTCTGCTGGCAGAGAGTATGTATAGAGATAATGCTTTCTGTTGGACATAGGTGGAGAGAGCCTTTTGAGGCCCTAAGAAGACATTGGATATCATCTGGATCCCAGAATGAGTGTTGTTTGACCTTGGCATTAGTGCACATATAAATTTATGCTTTAGTAACTTTTAGAATCCCAGAGTTTCTGGGCTTGCTATAATAACACAGATTTTTAAAAGAGGTAATCAAGAAAGCTCTCCGTTTTGTAAAGCATTATATATCCAATATGATCCTAGGACTCTTTGCTTTATTTACTCCATAGGTCTTTTATTCCTCTCATACCATTCAAAATATATAGCCAGGTTAACTATGACCTCTATGTAATCAAATCCATTGGAAATGTTTAGATTCTTCTCTTAATCAATCTCTGGAGCCATTGGCATGGTGATTGCTCCTTCTGACCTGTAATGATTTATTCTTTTGTTTTTAGCTCTCAAATTATTGGCTGCTTTTAATTAACATTTTGGTTCCTCTTATGTTTCTCAGACTCTACATTTGGGAAAACTTTCATGGATTCTTCCTGAGTTTACCACTCTCCTACCTTTTGTCTTTCTTTAATACCTTTATAGTTGACCTACTCATTCCTATGGTTTTAAATATGATTCACATTCTCTTCATTGAACTACAGATTCAGGTATCCAGCAGTAGCTTTAACATCTCCATTCACAGGCAGCCCCAGTGGCCCAGTGGTTTAGCGCCTGCCTTCAGCCCGGGGTGTGATCCTGGAGACCCGGAATTGAATCCCACGTGGGGCTCCCTGCATGGAGCCTGCTTCTCCCTCTGCCTCTCTCTGTCTCTCTGTGTGTGTGTGTGTGTGTGTGTGTGTCTGTCATGAATAAATAAGTAAAAACTCTTAAAAAAAATCTCCAGTTGCATGTGAAATGGATGCCCCACATTTATATGAACAAAACAGTATTTGATTTCCAAACACATCCTTTTTCTCAACCAAGTCCTCTACTAGCTTTTTCCTCTTTAGTAAATGATGCCATGATACTCTGTGTGGCTGAAGAAAAAAAAAATCCCATGAGTCATCTTTTGTCCCCTCTTCAATAAGCCATTAAAACAGTTACAAGCACTATTTTAACAATATACCTGAAAGCTGCCAACACTTTGGAGTCTTACATTTATCGCTCTAATCATTCCCAGCTTCTGACATCTCACACTTGACCATCTCAGTACTTTCTGGTTCTCCCTACTTTTACTCTTGTCACCTTACAAACATTCTTCACATAGTTATAAAAATGTTATCTTTTGAACATACACCTGATATGGTTATTCTCCTACTTAAAGTCATTCAGTGGCTTTCTCTATCAGTTAGGATAAATTCCAAGCATTTTATCAGCACCTATTAGTTTCTGTATGATTTATTGTCTCTATCCCTCTTAAGTTATCTTCCACCACTTTTTTTTCTCACTATGTGTCAGTGTCAATAACCTTTCTTTCTTAGAAGGTACTATACTCTTTCCTGAATTAGGAACTTTTTACTTGTGTTCATAGTCTCTGAAACTTACTCTTATACTTCTCAAATAGTGTCTCCTTTATATATATTATTTAAATTTCAGCTCAAATGTCTTCTCAGAGATGTTTCTTGGCACATTTTGTAAATAGGCCTTTCCTTCTTTTCATCACTCTATTATTTTATCTTTTTATGTTTTTCATAACATATTACAACATAAAATTATTTTCAAAATTTATTTATGTTCATGTACTATTCTCTGTCTTCTTTCATGAGAATCTAAGTTCACCACTGCATAGAGTTAGTTAAAATGTCTGGCATATTTTATACACTCAAATGTTTGTTGCACAAATTATTAATTATCTGGATACTTGCTTCAGTTGCAAATTCTTATGTCAGCACACACTATTGAGTCAGAATTTTTAGAAGAGCATTCCTGGAAATCTGTATAGTAAATAAACACCTCAATAGATTTTAATATACTTGAAAGTTTGGGATTCATTACTTTCTTCTGGATGATGCCAGAACCTGGTCATGAAGAACTACACAAGTAGGCAGGTATATTATCTGTTTTCCCTGGAATTCTGATTTATTTCACTGAAGAGCCAGTGTATGTGGATAAGAGATAAGTTTTCTGGGATTGATTTTCCTGAGAGCATTAGAACTGACTTCCCTCTGATTGTTGGTGGATCTCAGCTCTCACTGGGCTCTCACTTGGAATGATTGCTGCTAGAGATCAGTGTGCCCCTGGTTGTATTTCATTCCTCTACTTAAGTCTTGGATAGTTGAGAGAAATTGGATGCATTCTTAAGATATTGGAAGAAGGAGCCCTTTAGCTGCCACTACCTCACTTTTCACCTTGTTCTATTGCAGCTACTTTCTTTCAGTTGCCTTGGTTTGATCAAACTTAGGCCAGAAGTTTACCCAGAAGAATAACTCTGCTACCATGTTACTGAATTCATGTAGAATTCTGGAGAAATATTATCTCTTGGATATCTTAGCCATTTATATAAGGAAATAACTCATCAGGTGATATTGGTTCTCTATATGAAAAATTATCAGAAGTATTATGTACTGAACAAGATATAAGATATTTATCACCTTCTCTTTTGTTTTTCAGGTCAGAGGATATTCCTAAGATTAAGAGAACATTATATTAGTTTTTTATTCATTAGAAACAGGTTCTAAATTATTTTATTCCCATCTTTTGTTCGCTTTTACTTTGCCCAATGAAGCCAAATGTCATTAAAAAAAATAATTTGAGCAGTACCTGGTTGGCTCTATTGGTTAAGCAAATGATATTTTAAACTGGCATTTTCAAGAAATAATTATTATAAAATTCATTTACCAAATTATGTTGAGGATAGTTTGGTCCTCTTATTCTCCCTCCCATAGTTTTAACTGGGATTGCTGATGTTAATACCAAAGAATTAATATTTAATGTTTGAGAAACATCTGATACCTCAAAATAACCAAGAGAGACAGCAGTTTCCCTATACAAGTCATGCCAAGAGGCTCATTAGGCTGGCCTTAATTTGTAGCCAATTTATGGATCATGGCAGAGTTTCCCTCATTAATGTTAGGGCTGTTAGCTATGAACAATTTTAACTTGGAGTAGAGAAGTGTAGTCTTTGTTCAAAGGTTATTTTTTTTTCTGTTTTGTTTTGTTTTTATTGAGGTTCAATTTGCCAACATATAGTATAACACCCAGTACTCATCCCATCAAGTGCCCTCCTCAGTGCCTGTCACCCAGTTACCCCAGCCACCCACCCACCTTCCCTCCCACCCTCCTCCCCTTCCACAACCCTTTGTTCATTTCCCAGAGTTAGGAGTCTCTCATGGTTTGTCTTCCTCTCTAATTTTTCCAACTCAGTTCCCTTCCTTTTTAAGGAATTATAAGGGAAAGGATATTTTTCTAATTTCCTGACCTGTGGGGACAAAGATTGTCATTGTGACACAATAAAAGGCTCATTGTGCAAGTAGAATCTTGTTGGATGTTTTTGTCATTTACTGCAGAAAAGTTTATTTTCTTCACCACTTGCTACCTTTTCCTCCTTTAGGGGTTTGTTTCTAGAATGTCCATCAGGAGATTTATGGAAACCGATGATCAGAAGTCATTATTCAATGAAGTTTGTAAAATCTTTGCTGTGTGCATTTACTTTATATGAAAGGGAATATATATTTGGTTAACTAAAATATCTGAAATTGTTTTTTCCATAGCTGATACAAATGTTAAATCCTGTGATTATATATGTAATATATATATATAAAATTTTATGTACAATTATATATATGTATGTGCATTTGTGTGTATATATGCACACACATATATTATGATTTTTGCATTGTCCTGTGACAAATAATTTTATTCATGACTTCAAATTTTATGGGCACTACAATTTCTGTAGAGGTATGGATAGACACAAAGTTACCCAATTTGTTTTTGCTAATAACAAAACTAGCAAAGTAATTGAATAAGGGAGAAATAATTGAGTAAGAGAAATGTTACCACTGATATACTGATTTTATTTTATTTTTTTACAAAGAGGACAAAGAGGAATAATCTGTTAATTTATGTGCCCATATAGGTCAGAGATATGAAAAAGCTCTTTTGTTTAGCATTAGGAATTTGAATATTTTCATAATGTATTTTATTTATTAAACATTCACTGAGGACCCTATACTCCCCTTAAGTACTGGGGAACCGTTAGATTATTGTATACTACAGGAACTTACAGTCTCCTTGAGAAGGATACAGAAATGTAAATGAATGTTTTTATTAGAAATTTAAGTATAATAAGATTTATAAAAAAGAAATAAAAATATAATGGAAGAAGGTCAAAGTGGTTAGTGATTCATTCTGTTTAGAGTAATAGGAGAAAGTTTTTCATGAATGTTATAATCCTGGATTTGGATCTTGAAAGAGAAGAAAAAGAAAGAGGAAAGAGGGTGAGACAAGCAGACTCCCTTGTGAGCAGGGATCCCAAGTTGGGGCTCAATTCCAGGACCCTGGTATCATGACTTGAGCTGAAAGCAGACACTTAACCAACTGAGCTACTCAGGCACCCTCAATAAATTGGATTTAAATAGTGAAACAGGAAAAGACATTGCATGAAGAGAGAGCACCATAATCAAAGCTGTGCTTTGAGAATGAAAGCCAGCTGTGGGGAATGGTGATAATGTGGTGTAACATTTGGGGCTATAAGAAAGGCTGGCTGATGGCACAGGAATTCAAAAAGAAGCTCAGGGTTTCTACTATGTGCTAGGTCTTTGTGTAGGTCCGCAGGACCTTCATGATCTTTAGTTTCCCCACATATGAAATGTGATTACTGAACAGAGATTATGTAATGCTGGCTTCGGCAGCACATATACTGAATAGAGATTATGTAATGATTTGTTGACCTAATGATTCAAAAAAGCACTTTGTAACCCACAAGCATGATATCGAACCTATTTTTAGGATCTTACTCATTATCAGTTTTAAAATTAGAGAAGTTACTTGATCATTTTTGATATCCTTTGCCAAACATCAAGCTTATATCCTACAGTATATAATTACAGACACAACTGAATAATTGAGGGTCAATTACTCAAATATTTTTTGAATTAAATCAACCTCTGGCACTTTTTTAAAAAGATATTTATTTATTCATGAGAGACAGAGAGAGAGGGGCAGAGACAGCAGAGAGAGAAGCAGGATCCCTGCAGAGAGCCCAGTGTGGGACTCGATCCTCAGACCCAGAATCATGCCCTTAGCTAAAGGCAGATGCTCAACCGCTGAGCCACCCAGCCATCCCAATCTTTGGCACTTGTTAATGCAATTGATGCAACTATACAGCATAAGCTGCTGGATAGACTTTTTTTATTCAAGGTATTCCTAGGACTGGTTAATTTTTGGTCACCTCAATCCCCATATTTTCCATAGAATAGCTAGTCATCAAGAAATGTGTGTTAGGGGGCACATGAATGGCTCAGTTGGTTAAGCATCCAACTCTTGATTTCAACTCAGGTTGCGATCTCAGGGTCACGAGATCAAGTTCAGGGTCAGGTTCCACACTGAGCCTACTTAAGATTCTCTCCCTCTCTCTCCCCCACCCTACCTGGTTCATGCACTCTCTCTCTCTCTCTCTCTCAAAAAGAAATGTATATTAAAATCTGTTAAAATGTATTTTGCATTCTTACCAGTAAAACGTTTAGAAAATAGGAAACCATGATCTTCTCTTTTATTTACTACAGAAGCCCACTAGAGATATTGGCAAGAGAATACTGTATGCTGTTTCAATTACATTTATTTTTATTTTATTAGCAAGAATATTGATTCTTCAGGGAAGTGGCTCACATTCAATTTTACAGTGACCTGAAATAAATGATAAGCACTCAGTTATTAATCCAAATGGGTAACTTGCTTGTGAACTTATACATTTTTTGCTTCTTAATTATGAAGAGTACTTCAAAAGTAAATCTGGGTCAAGGACTGGGAAACTTTCTGCTCAAGACTAGTAGTTGCAGGAAAGATGGCAGAGGCCTTTAGTGGTAGGCATTAGCTGAAAGGTTTTTATTTTCCTAAAACAGCCCTCTTGGTCCTAATGTAATCTGTAGTCTACATTCCTTCAATTCATCTAGTAACTTTGTCTTTGAGATGATGAGATGATAGGGGCCTCTATTATACATGGGATATCCAGCCTTTAGGATTTTATTGTAATACGACCAACAGAAGCTAGGTTTGAAGTTTTAATATTAATTAGAAAAATACATATTTTCTAAGAAATAGGCTGAAATCTGCCTTAGACCCTAGATCCACAAGTTTATCTATTGTGATGTCCACTTTGGTTGAAATTTTGACTCCTTTAGACCTCTGACTTAGCCCAAATAAGTACAAATGTTGATGATAGTAGAATATGTTTAAAAAGTTAGAAATGTTTTAGTAAGAAAGGAAAGGATTTATTTCTAGTACATCATAGCAAATGAGATATTCAAACTGTCCTGATCTCTTAATCATGGAAAGACTCGAGTATGTAACTCTGAGTGGAGACCTAACAATGTCTACCAGATAAAAAGATTGAAACAAATTGTAACTTAAAGGGATAAGTAGGAACATTGTAACATTTTTAAAAGAATGATACATTATAATTCACAGGCAACTACTTAAAAAACATGCTTTGTACTGGGTATACTTACCACTATTTCATCTTAAATTGTAGTGGGACTTTTCTTTCTTATTTACTGTCCATTAGGAGGAGTAAATGTAGGGACAGAGAGAGGTATTGGAAAAGGAAAATAATATCTAAACCATGGATATCTTTGATACAGGAATGGTGGATATGGGCCATATGGGTATTGGTAAGGGGGCCCATAAAACTGTAAAGGTGATTCGTCACTCCCACTGACCTGTTGAAAGAAATTAAAAAGACTTGTTTTACTCTTTATGACTAAGAGAGATAAAATAGCCTTTTAACATGTGGATCTTCACTTTTAAATAGAGATTTTAGAAATTCTAGGATCATTTACCTTTTCTATGTGTACTATGAACAGGGATTTAATTAATTTGCATCATTTTAGAAAACTTTAGGACATTGCTTAAAGAAAACTATATCTTTGTACCTTTCTACTTATAGTCAAATTTTCCTAATAATTGCTATAAGGTCGGAGTGGGAGGGTTGATGAGGTGATACCAGATTTCTACTTTTGCTTTTATATAAGCTCTTTACCCAAATCTGTGTTAGATGCAATCTCCTCTTTATCTCTTTTCATTCTTTCCTCTTTCCCTCTCTGTCTTCTGTCCGTACCTCTATCAATTTCTGTATCTTTAAACACTGTTTATAGCTTTGACCTCAAAACTACTCTTCCTTTCAGATAATAGGATTTCTAGTAGTATAAACAAATCCCTAAACAACCCCCCCATTCAAATTTTATTTTCCTTTTCTTAAAAATTTTTGTTTAAAATAATTCTTTTATGAATTTGTCACTGGTGGGATCATCAAAGTTGATACACATCTCTTAATTCTCAAGTTGTTTTTTTAAAGATTTCATTTATTTATTCATGAGAGACACACACAGAGAGAGAACGAGAGAGGCAGAGACACAGACAGAGGGAGAAGCAGGCTCCATGCAGGGAGCCCGACATGGGACTTGATCCCAGGTCTCCAGGATCATGCCTTGGCTGAAGGCGGCGCTAAACTGCTGAGCCACCTGGGTTCCCCCTAATTCTCAAGTTTTTTTTTTTTAATATTATTATTTAGTTTTTCTTGAATGAGTTTTGTAGAATTAAGCAGAGTGGAGGCATGAATAATTATGAACTTCTATTAGCCTAGATAATTCTAGCAAAAATATCATAACCCAGTTTATCACAGAGTGATTCAAGTTTGTTTGGGTCCCACTGTTACATGAGATGCTGATATAATTCCCTTTTTACAAACAAAGATCAAATTCTTGAAGTCTATTCTGTGGAGTGCTAATAATACCTAAACTCCTTAAGGTTTACTCTGGAGTTTGAGAGGGTTAGATAAAGGAATTTTAACCACAGTATGGATATTTCACACAGAAATCTTACGTGTTAAAAAACAAAAATGTAACTTACACTTCGTTGTTCTCTTTCCTGGTCTTGAGAGACCTAAAACTCAAACAGTAAAATTAGTTCAACTCATATTGATGAAACACACAATGTTGTCTATGAAGGACATAATTTATCTACTACCTAATCTTATTTTATACTATCCATTTTTTAAAATCAAGAATTTGAGTGTCCAGAAATTATTATAGTAACCATTTTTCTGAAAAGTGTTAATATGTTTTCTAAATGATTAAAATTCACCATTGTATCAGGCTATATGGAATTGAATTAAGCACTGAACAATATATGGTTTACAGTATTTTTTGGAATATCATGTTAAAGGGGCAGATATCAGGCATTTTTATAAAGTAGAAATATAGTCTGTGGAGGAAAAATATTCCTGGGATTAATGAATTAGGACAAAACAATTCATAAATACTCTGGAATATAGAAATGGATACTTACCGGGAAAGCAGCTGTTACAGCCAGAATGGCTGTGATCAGAAGGAGAACTCTCATCTTACTCAGAAATGTCCTAGAAGTCAAGAGAAAGGCCAAATGTTAGCATAAATTTGGAAGATCTAGTTGTAGTACAGATTATGTTACTAACAACTCTTTGACTTTAGGCAAGTCACCTAACCTTAGGGCACCCATCTATTTGTTAATGGAGCAGATTGTTGTTTGGATAAAATCAAAGGTACTTTGCAACTTTATAACTATGTTACATCAATTCCTTTAAAAATAAACGTTCACATATCATTTTAGAATTATCTCTGCATATGCTAATAAAAGTAGTTTCTAGAATGAAATACGCCCTCAGTTTATACAGAGAATGGTAGTGTGGGGGTAAGCAGTTATTTACTGATCAGGAAGTTCAAAGTAATGTAATAATGACTATGAAATTAATTTAAGTGACAGAAATTTGGTTTGGTTCTCAGGCAACCCAAAAAATTCCATGCTGTTTAGAGGGATCTATTTTTGACATTTGGGAAAGGACATTTCCAAAACATTTCATTTTATATTTTGATTATAGACTCTTTATCTTATGATACAAATTGTTATATTCATTATAATTGATAATAAGTTTTTGAGAAAAATGAGCTAAATTAAGTATTTATACAATTACAGGTCAACACATTACAAAATTTTCTGAAGATTATTTAATTTAAACTTTCACATTCAGGAAAATATCAGTTGCTCATATTATTATTATTTTGGGGTGGCTTCGAGGTGATTTGGGGATTTCATCACCTCTTAATGCTTCCTAAATATCAGACAGAAAAATAAAATATAAAAGAAAAAATGTAATCAAGTTTTGAGCTCTGTCTTTATTTTTAATCATATTGATCAAAATTCAAATTGGGATTAAAAAAATACCAGATGATGTTATAATTATAATGAGATAAGGAATTAAAATTCCAGTGAAGTTCAGAATTCTGTAGGAAAACTGGAAGAATAGGCAATATTACACACATGCACAACATACATTTCTCACAGACAAATAAACACACACAAAGAATAAATTTTAAGCATGAAGCATTATAATAGGTGCTGTCAGGTGTACAGTGATAAAGCATGATACCCACAATGATTATTTAATTACTAAGCTTACAAATTCAAGTAACCATTGTGAGACAGTCTCAATTTTAATTTCGACATTTGACAGTATATGTCTGTTATCTATTTATCACCTATTATCTATTTATCTATCTATCATCTATCTATCTATATCTATCTATCTATCTATCTATCTATCTATCTATCTATCTATCTATCTAGTTTACAATATTTGAGACCTCTCTTACCTCAAATTTTGCAACCCGTTCCTTCTCTTGGATGTTGTAAGAAATGAGAAGTGACTGGCCCAGGAATACTACAGCTATTTTATAGACTCAGAAGTGAATGGAATGGAGAAGCTTGTGGCTTGAAGGCCTCTCCCTGGGATCAGTTATTACTTGGTTGACTCATCAAGTATCACAACATGTTGAAATTGGGGAATAAGCAACATTAACAGTTTCATCAAAACTTCAGATGAGTGGCTACCAAATACATCTATTTGTGGTTTCTTTTCAATTTTTGTGTCATATATTCAGAGCATTTTGTTTCACATAATGCTGCCCTATGCTCTTATTTTTTTAAAAAAACTTAAATTTCCATAATTAAAATATTTTGTAAATATCCTATTGGTATTGATTGTAACCTATTGGAAAGCATGTTTGGTAGTGTTGTAATTTTAAGAAAATAAAGAATATCGAAGAGCACCTCAGTGGCTCGTTTAAGCATCTGACTCTTTTTTTTTTAACTTATTTTTTTAAGATTTATTTATTTATTTATTTATGAGAGACACAGAAAGAGGCAGAGACATAGGCAGAGGGAGAAGCAGGCTCCATGAGGGGAGCCCGATGTGGACTTGATCCCAGGACCCCAGGATCACGACCTGAGCCAAAGACAAATGCTCAACCACTGAGCCACCCAGGCATCCCAGCATCTGACTCTTGATTTCAGCTCAGGTCATCATCTCAGGTTCCAGGGATCCAGCCCCTTGTCAGCTTCATGCTGAGCATGAGCCTGCTTAAGATTCACTCTTTTCTCCTCCCTCTGCCTTTCCCCCTACTGTCTCATTCTCTCTAAAATAAATCTTTAAAAAAATGAATATAAAAATAATTATCTCTGGAACCAGTAATGAAGTGAAACGAAATGTATAAAAACACTCATCATGGTGTCTGACTTCATAAATGATAGTTTTATGAGCACCAGAGCTGAAGTTTTGACTAAGTGAGACATCTTCCTGCCAAGCATACTCAAGGTTCTTTAGATAATCAGGTTCCTCAGCTAAAGGTATGGGAAAGCACATTACATAGTAATTGAAACTGGATAGGGGCTTAATATGTTAGTTAAATCTGAATGTAAGTAGTGGAATTTTGAAATCAAGCAGAATCAGGAGGGAATAATTTTCTGGTTGCACCCTCCACACCAACTCACCAAGCTCTAACAAGCTGTAATTCTGGCTGAATTCAGGCCATAGAAGCTGCTGTTACTTCCACGTGCTAAATCTTAATTCAAATGACAAAATCTAATAAACAGAAAACACCTTTACCTAAAAGAACAAAAATTATATATACAAAAATCCCTCTGCGATATCTTCAGCATGTGAGTGTCCTTCAAAGGGAAAGAGTAACCCAAGGAAGAGCAACTAGGATATTTTCCCCTGAAAAAGCTTCTGAGTGGCCATCAGAAGCTAGACAGGCCATCATGTGAAAGAGAGCTTAGATTTATTTTTGGGGTACTCAGATTGCAGAAGAAAATGAATACATCAAGATATGAATATGAAAATAACCTAAATGTCCATTGATGGAAAAGGATTGAGAAGATGTCACACACACACACACACACACACACACACACACACACACACACAATGGAATAATACTACTTAGCCATAAAAAAGAAATCTTGTATAGATGGACCTTGAGGGTATTATGCTGACACACGTCAGGCAGAGAAAGACAAATACTGTGTGATTTCACGTATGTGTGGAATCTAAAAAACAAATCAAGCCAACAAACAAAACCAAATAAAACCAAAATAACTGATGTACAGAGCAATTTGGTGGTTGCCAGAGAGGAGGATTGGAGGATGGGCAAAATGGGGGAAGAGGATCAAGAGGCACAAGTCTCTAGTCATAAAATAAGTAAAGGGAATGTAATGCACAGCAGAGTGACTACGGTCAATAATACTGCACGGTATACTGCATAACTTCATATGGGGATGGGGAAACTACACTTACTGTGGTGATTATCTTGCAGTGTATACAAATATTGAAACATTAGATTTATACCTGATACTAATATGTCAATTATACTTCAAAAATATTAAAAATAATCTGTAAGAAAAAACTTATTAAAAGTTTAAAAAACTTATCTCCAGGTATTCAAGGAGATGTTGGAGTGACTACAGGCTGTGGTATAGCAGAGGGGATCTTGGAATGGCTAGATGACCTCTCTGTGCCTTTTCAATTATAATACTCAGATGAGGTGGTAAGTGGAGATGAGAACACCTACCGGAACAGGTTTAACAGTTAATGTTATATATTAAAAAAAAAAAAAGGACCCATAGGCTTATTTTCATTAAAGGATTAGAATTCGTGGTAAGGGAATGTACACTTTAAGCCACACTATGGGAAGCCTTATCAGTGGATTAACTCAATAAGAGAGCAGAAATACCTTGTTCCACATCTTGTGGCTGACAAAGTTTGTAGAAATTCAATACATGCACATTCTTCAGGGCTTTCTAGTCTTTTTTTTTTCCTGGTCATTGAAAACTGTGAGAAATTAACCTTTAATAAAGTTGTGTACATATTCAGTATTCAGGAGGAATTTTTAATTTAAAAAAGTCTGAAACATCTTCCTTCTGAGAGAAAGGTTGCAAATCAATATGAATTATCTCCAAAGCCCCTGTAAATGTTATATATGCAAACTAGAAGTGTCCTTAGTGATTGTGGGTTCCTGCAAAAGAAAAAAAGTTAGATGTCAATGTTGTAGAATCTGAGTGGTTGTCAATTCCACAATGTCCATGGCACATTTAACTTCCGGTAGTTAAAAAGGAAGGTGATCATAGAGTTCTCATGCCTGGAGTCAGCACCAGCAAGTGCCAGAGTCATGGCCAGACAGCGCCATGACCACCACACTTTCCCTGGAATGGGCCTAGTTTACCATGGCACTAATTATGTGCTTAAGAAATACTTATTTAGTGAACAAATTAGTCTCATCAGAAGTTGTTTTGGATATTTCTTGTGCTCTTTATCAGTCATACTATAGCTTGAAACCCAAAGCCCAATAGCTAAAAATCTCCATTTATTAACTGTCCCTAAACTCTTGAGACATGGTTTTATCAGCATGATTTAAATTTTATACCAAAATAAATAAATAAATAAATTTTATACCAAATTCTATTAATAATTTGATATTATTCATATGACTCAAATGATGGAAATAGCCATATTCCATCATATATATTTACTTATGTATATATATAAGTATATATATATATATATATACTTATGTAGCCCATTCCAAAAACTTCCCTTTCCCTCTACAAAATATGTAGCTTATTTTCTCAAAAATCAAACTAATATTGGTTCAATACAAAATTTAAAAATTAATGATCTCCTATGCAGTATTACACTTTTTCTAAAATGTTTGCATAGAACCTAAACACGGTGTTACTACCCTGCTCTATACAGAGCTCTGTAGATACTGCCTGTGGTTCCTCCTGAGTAGACATTTTTCCCTGACACATGCTTTTCATGCAGAGATAAAGTGGCCAGTAGAGTCATAAATCCAGGATCTGAATCATGCCTCTCCACTTACTTAACACATCATTTAACCTTTTATAACCACCTATTTATTCAGCATTAAAAGAACAGTAACAACATTTTTCCTATTTACCTCCTAGCTTAAAAATTTAAATAAAAATTATATTTTCTATATGGCAATGTATTAAAATCAAAAGTTTTGAATTTGAACTGCTAGTTTC